TAGAATGAGTATGTACTTCTTTTATAATGAAAATTGATGGCTCTTTTTGAGATGATGGGACTACTTCACTATTCTCCAACTCCCCTACTCCTACATACACGAACACTTCTCCTTTCTAAGAAAAAGAAAACACATGCACTTTAGCAATCAAGTTGATTGTTTCTCAGGTCTGCTTGATCACCAGAGTGCTGTTGGTTTTATTAACTGAATTAAATTTGGACTTTCAGAGTCCAAACTCTCCAGTGTGCCACAGTCCCTATAACTCCCTATTATCCTAAACAATTGCATTATTTGTGTGTCCCCAGAAATCATCGGAGCATGTGCCCCAGAGAACAGAGCTTATAACTTGGCTAGGGGACCTCTGTCACTCTAGGTTCATAAAAAATTCCATTACAAGTGACATCACCAGATTAGAGGCTTTTTGAAGTATTTAAGTATCTCCATACCTGGTCATTTTGGTTACGAAATTGCTTCTCACTTACCAAAAGACCTTTCAGCATTCACTTAGTATTCATGCAACATCTGTTTATTGAGAAAATAAAGTTTTCTAGACAGTGAGCTAGGGGCCGGAAAAACAATGAATAGGACAGATCCTATCTCCGAGGCTCACCTTCAGATAAGATGATCAAGTGAACAAGTACAAACAATACACTGTGACAACATAGTTTTAGAAACACCTAGCAGATCTTACAGGAGAAAGGTGGGAGAACAGGATGATGTAGATGGGTGTTCCAGGAAGCACACGCAAAGGCCCAGGAGAAAGGAGGGAGCGAATCTCATTTGCACGTCCAAAATTTGAGGGATTGTACAGTGTGGTACTATCAGGGTCACACACTATGCCCCAAAACATTTATGTGGACGGAAACGCCTAAAACAAAGGGTATCCTTCAAAAGATGCCATTTTACCCATGACCACATTAAAGGGTGTCTTCATACAATAAAGGTGCACATATGTGGGCAACTCTAAACACTCTGTCAAATTATTAAATTTCTAATGTATTAATAGTTTCTAATACAAATATTAGGTATCTTATGCAGAGTCACACCCCTTGACTGGAAAACTCCCAATTTAATAAACATTTATTCTCTATCCTGTCTAAAAGAAAAACATCGTTATATTCTTAGGTGAAAAACAGTGAGGTCTCAAAAGAATAAAATATAATCTTTGGACACATTTTATGTGCATAACAGACAAAAATTTTGAAAGAATTCTAATATAATAGAAGATGGAGAAATTATGTGGGCTTTTTTTTTAATTTCTTTTTCTAATTTCTACAATAAACAATTACCATTTGTGTGATTTTAAAACCTCAGTTGTATCTTCACAATACTTTCCTTGCTGGAAGCTCACATTAGGAGATCCCACGGGGGTGTCTGTCAGGCACCTCTCACCCCTGTGCTCTCTCCTTGCCTTTGGTAACTACTGCCCCACGGACTCAATCTGTTTTCCCATCCCCTCAATAGCTGTCACCACCCACTTTATTCCTTCTATTTCTTCTGCCATTAACTGCATGTCTGACTGGAAGTGAGATGAAGGACCCAGAACCCCCAACCTTTGTGGTCTTAAGGAGTTTAGTGCCAATTAGTAAGAGAGCAAGAACGAGACAGGAGATCACAAGCATGACTAAGTACAGTGAAGGAATAACTTTCATATAAATTTACAAACTGTGTACAGTTAAGACCCCTGGTTTATAGTTCTTGGCACATCCCTGAAATTGGGAGGCAGCACTCAGTAGGAGCCTATGGCAGACTCTGGACCACTACTAGCTGTAGAGTTATTCCAAGGATCAGTGGTCCTATAATGACCATTACTAAAATGAACTAATCTCGCTGCACATATACTACAAATTTTCAAGCATATGTAGAAGATATTAATAATCAAATGATAACATTTAACCTTCTCTTTCTTATTATTTCTCAATCATAAGACACTAAAACAACCACTCTCGAGTAAGCGTCTGCATAATTTTTTTGATGTTAAAGTGTCTCCATGCTCACAGAGGCTGGGAACACTCTTGTAGAGGACTGAGCACAGGTTTCAGGCATGTGACAGAGCAGGGTTTACATGGCAGCTTTATTATTTAGCTGAGTAAATCTGAGCCTCAGTTTGCACATCCCGAAGTGAGAATAACAACTCCAAGGACCTTCCTATTAGGGAAAACTCAATGAACTCAGTCTTCCAGCTGACAGTCTGCTCTACTTCATTCCCCACCTAAAGTCAGAATAGCAAATGTTAACAGGCACTTACTTTGTCCCTCTGATGACCTCCAAATGAAAGGCCAATTTACTAGGCCACCAGCTAGCCCTGACAAAGCTATCTCCCGGCATTTCCTCTTATCCACAGAAACACAAAAAACAGTACATGCAAAAAAAAAAATTCTCAATATTACCTCTGTCTTTAGAACAAAGTGTAACTCATTCTTGGAGAGTTTCAGAAAGGAAACGGTATATTAAGTTTTATCTACAACTTGGATTGAAAATTACTCTTGAAATATGTTCTCAATGGTTTAAATGAAATGATAGTTAAACATAATTCAAGATAATCATATACTATTTCTCCATAAGTTTCTTTTAAGGTTAAGTAAGTCGAGTTTACCTGAAATGGCACTATTGAATATTTTAAGTTGATAAGCACAGTAAATCAAGAGAGTGGGATTATTTTAATTTTAAATGCCTGATTGGCATGTCACAATGAGAAATACATATCGGAATCTAATGTAATTAATGAAAACAGTACATTTTTATTTTCGGAAAAAAAAGTCTTCTCTAATATTAGCTACAAATTCATAAAGAGATTATCGTTAAAGGGATTATTATTACTGTACTAAAACAGCCTTTTATACATTATTTTGTAGAATAAGCTATGAGAAGACAAAAGCCATCAGGTCAACAGTTGTACCAGTTATTTTTTTTTCTTTAACAGGCTGTTAACATCTTAGAAGCACAAGCCAGGGTATTTAAATCAGGGACAAAAGTAAATGCTGTCCCTTAACAGGATTACACAGAAAAGTAAACATCTCTTACTCTAAGAGCAACCATGGTACTTCTTACCACAGTGAAAACTGATGTTATCTCGATGAGTTAATTATTCATCCCAACCCCTGGCCTTGCTCTTGGAGGCACTTGCTAAGTTAACACTAGTTCAATAATTTGCTGATAAAGAATCTGAAAGCAGCATCTACCAACAGATCTTAAAGATATTAAGTGCATGGTTCACCCTCTCATTGTATGGATAAGCAAAATGAGGAGAAAAGAACTCAGTATCTTATTGAAAATAATAAAGCTAGTTAGTTGAAAAGCTTACCCAGTGTTTTCCTAGTCTACACCTCTCACTAGATGAACAATTGTGAGATAGTTCAAGCAGTTATCTACCTGACTGCATGGGGAATGTTTTCAATACAAGGCACACAGGCATTCCTCTTTCATTGTGCTTCCCTTTACTATGCTTCAATAGATGCTGCATTTTTTAACAAATGGAAGGTAAGACCCTCTACCAGAAAAAGGAATAGGACTCACTGAAGGCACAGATGATGCTTAACATATTTTGACAATAAAGTATTTTTTCATTGACATTAGGTACATTTTTTAGACATAATGCTACTGCACACTTAACACACTACAATATAGTATAAATATCATTTGTATATGCACTAAGAAACCAAAATATTCATGTAACTCGCTTGATTGCCATATTGGCTTTATTGTGGTGATCTGGAACCAAAAACCACAAAATCTCCAAGGTATGCCTGTATTTTAACTGTAATATAATCCAAAAGGATATTAGTCATATACAAAGATCCTCTGGATATTAAGTGTAGGAGAAGCATTAATTTAGTTGAATCTCCTCTAATTTAATTAATTCTTTTTATTCATAATTACAAAGATGATGGTACTACAGTAAATTAAAAAATACTGTAATTTTATTCTCTCCTAATAAGTACATATTATATATGTTATATTTTCAACTAGTAAATCAAATCAATATACCAATCTTGGGGCTCAGATAAACTGAACATATGGAAAACCTGATAAGTTTTAATGAAAGCTTTCTTAAGATGTAGGTTGAAGCACAGATCTTAAGCATTTTAAAGATTCACATTAATTCCAAGTTTTTTAAAATGTATTTAAGGAAGAAAGTTCCTTTTGTAATTTATATGTTCATAAATGTTTCCATTAGTTAAGAGATATTTTGGAATGTGATCAATGATATTGAATGTCAAGTCCTGACAACAAGGCTAAATCTCATAATTCTCATATGCGGCCACTGCTCTTTTAAGCCACTGTGTCACCAAAGGGCTAACAGAGAGAAAATCCTAACTTAACAAGTGAGGACAGCAAAGCATATTTTAATAGCTACCTTTCATTTTAACTCTACCTCCTAAATACAAAATTAGATTTAGACTTCTTTTACCACTGTTAACAATTTAGTATTAACGCATGCATCTGCCATTCTTCCCCCTCAAGAAAGAAGTTACAAGCTTCAGCTACATATAACTTCCAAATGTTTTCCTACAACTAAATGTAAAAATCAAAACATCAGTCCTTAAAAAAAAAACAAGTATGGAAAATTGGCAGACTGCATGTTTATGTCAACCTTCAGAAAACATGGAAACATGCAGTGCCAATTCACCAGGAAAATCATTACTTGTAACCAAACCATTGTGAGACATCTTATGTCTTTTATGCATTTCACTTCATACCCAGTACTCCGTTTTGCATCCTCTTGATAATATCAACCCCCAAACGCCTAAAGAGCAAACTACTACTGTAGAACAGCTTTAACATGAAGAATGCAAGAGTTCTTTCAGCTCAGTGGCGTGATCTTAGAAACGCTTAAATCAAACATTTATTTTCCCTCTGCTGTTCAAAACCGAGGGACCTCACACTTGGGATGCAACGAGAATGAAAAAAAAAAAAAAATCCAAACACGGAACACACTAAGAACAAAGGAAACACAAGCGTGTGAACAGGAAATGAAGCAACTCTATACACATAAATACCTTTTGGGGCCGCCAACGTAGGTGAAAGTAAAGGTGGAGTCTGAATATCTGAAATCTGAAACAGAAAGTCCGGTTAAAAGCTACCCCTTGAGTGGATTGTTAACCCTGGTCAAGACTGGGGCACCCTGTTTAGCGGAGCCAAGAAAAGGCCTGGCGGGGCGGGAGGCGAGGGCTAGAGCCGCTAGGACCCCTCTCCACGGCGCCCCGGAGGGCATGCTGCGCACCCCCCGCGGGAGCGGCGGGAGGCCGCCCCCCGCAACAAGTGCCGGCTGCCATGGTAACGGTGGGAACGTCCCGGTCCCGGCGACCGGAAGCGGCCCCCGCCAAGCTCCAGACTGCGAAAGCAAAATCCGATCCCTCTCCTGGGGGAGCAAAATGGACGAAAGACGACCCCAGGCAGGGGCGTTGGGCGCCTCGGGAACGCAAGGAGTCCCTTCTTTCCAGGGCACCGCATTGTCAGTCCGAGGGAAGTAGACGGAGCGGGAGCCGGAGGTCCGCCTAGCGCTGGCCCCGGGGGGGCCTTAGCGCCCGGCGCAGCCGGCGAGCGCGGCGCAGCGGGCTCCATTCCCAGCCGCCGCTCAGACCATTGCGCAAACCCGGCGGGTCCTACCGCGCCCCCGGGCGCCGCGGCTGAAACCCCGGAGGCGGGCTTGGACCCTCGGGGCATCTGTGGGGAGCTAAAAATACAACGCAAGGCCCCTTTGCCTAGAGCCCCGCTCCGGCCACCTGGGTTCTGCCCCCCAAGCTGGTGCCTGCCCCAGACTAGGGGGGAGGGGAGAAGGGGAGAGGCTGGCGCCCCCTCCCCCTTTTGGTTCCCGCTCTCGCTGCAGCAGCTGTTGCCAAATGAACCCCGGCATGGGGACGTGCAACCCACCTCCCACCCCCAGCTACACACGTCGCGGTCTGAAAACTGGGAAGGGGGGCGGCGGGCGGGCAGGGGAAGCTGGCGCTGGGTCGGAGGCTCGGGAACGAGAACTCACCTGCAAACGAGCAGTCCTTCTCGGCTCTGGACTTCTGGATCACGACGTCGATATCCTTCTGAATTCGCTCTTGCCTTGAACACATCCCCATTAAATCAATCCCTGGAAAAGAAGCAGCCGCTATTTCCACTCCACCCCACCCCCCTCGCACGCTTCCAGCTTTCGTAAATATTCAGTTAAAAATGAAACCTCTGGCCGAGGCAGGGGCTGAAGGCGAAGTGGTTTCGGAAGTGATCCTGGGTGAGAGAGGAGGTGGTGGAGGAGGAGGAGGAGGGGGAGGTCGGCTTTGCATTCCCAGATGTGACCGCCCAGCTGCTGCTCGCCGCTGCTGGATTCCAATTTCCTCCCCTCCTGACAATGGATGGTGATGACACTGAGTCTCACTTTCTCCCTCCCCCGCCCGGACCAACGGCCGTGGGGGCCCGGGGTGCTGGAG